GCTCTAAATTACTGAAATTTGTGAAGTAAAAAGTACAGATGGTCCCTGACTTACAACAGTTTGAGTTATAATTTCTTGACTTTACAATGGGTTTATAAGGTATTAAATGCATTTTTAACTTACAAGATTTTTGACTTACAATAAGTTTATCAGGATATAACCTCATCATACATTAAGGAGCATGTTCATACACATTTACTGTGTATACTGTTGGGGCTTAAAAAACAACACTGCAAAATGAATGGTGTTTTGGCATGCTGAACACTTCAAACCATAATAGGAAGGCCTTATAAATTACCTCAGAATCAAGGACTTTCTTCTTTATTTTTTTTCTTTTGAGATCAGAGTCTCGCTTTGTCACCCAGTCTGGTCTCAAACTCCTGGCCTCAAGCGATCTCCCACCTCAGCCTCCCAAAGTGCTGGGATTATAGCCATGAGCCACAGCACACCTATAATCCCAGAATCAAGGATTTTCTAATCTCTCCTGAACTCCCTTCTCTCCACCCCTAGAACAGGGTGAAATTTAACGCCTAATATTCCTTTAGCTGCCTTAAGACCTGGCCCACCAAAGAGAACATAATTGCCTTCCATCCTATCCTTGAAATTTTAGTAGCAGGAAAGAAGACTGAGGCATGTAACCATACCTGAAGGGATTTTGTTCTGCCTCTTGGGCTCCAATTACAAAGAAAATCATTTACAAGCTAGTATTTCTACCTCCCAGGTCCATTCATCTTCCCTAAAGTCATGTACTATCTCTCTAAAAATTGCCTACAGCACCCCCTTCAACATTTCCCTCTCCCCACTGGAGTATTTAAGCCTCAACTATCTGGCTCCTCTTTGAGTCCCATATTTTACATGGCTCCTGTGTTTATACACATTAAGTATATTTGTATTCTGTATTAGCCCATTCTCACACTGCTAATAAAGACGTACCCAAGCCTGGGTAATTTATAAAGAAAAGAGGTTTCATTGACTCACAGTTCAGCATGGCTGGGGAGGCCTCAGGAAACTAACAAGCATGGTGGAAGGCACTTCTTCACAGGGCAGCAGCAAAGAGGATGAGTGCACAAGCCAAGGGGGAAACCCCTTATAAAACCATCAGATCTCTTGAGAACTCACTATCATGAGGACAGTATAGGGGAAACCACCCCCATGATTCAATTATCTCTACTTGGTCTCACCCTTGATGCATGGGGATTATTACAATGCAAGGTGAGATTTGGGTGGGGACACAGAGCCAAACCATATCATATCCCTTTTTCTCCTATTAATTTGTTTATTGTCAGTCATTTCCACAAAGGTTCAAAGAGAGTAGAAGGGAAGCTTTCCCGCTCCCACTATAAATACAACAAACAAATGACTTCCTAAGAATCATCATGCGTGCTTTCAGTTTAAAATTTCTAATGTTTTCTCAAGTGCATTTTATAACTACTGAGGTTTTTGTTTTTCCAAGGAAGGAAGAGGCATATGCAAATTCTCACTGGCAATCTCTAGGATTGAACATAGTTTTATCAGCAAGATGTTATCTCTGCAGAGAATGTCTAGAACATAAACATCAACTGTGAGAATGATTTCTCTATTGCAGCATTTTACCTAAATTGATACCTGGTTCACTAACAAAAGCTCTAAAGAAGTATCTGCTTATAAATTCTCTCTACTCAATATCCATCAAGGGCCAATTTAAAGCATTTCAAATATATTTTGAGTACAGAATATTTTACCATAATAAAATGAACAGACTACAATTATTGAACAAGGTAAATTTCTGATGATTTTATTTCAAAGTAAAGTACATAGGCAATTGGACCCACTTTACCAAATTTCATCCAGGATTTCCTGAAATAGGAAGAAAAACTAACTATGTCAGTCATGAGCTCTTTATTTTTTTAGTACTTGTCTACCTAGAGTAAACTCAAAGGGGGTCTAAAAAGATGGCCTTTATATAAACTATAACAGAATTTACTGTTAATAACTTGGAGTATTTGAAATAGTCAAGGATTTTGCAATTTTTTTATTTCTTACTCTTCAAAGCTTGTCCTTCCTTTTCCATCCTCAAGCCTTCCTTTTCTGTCTTCATTTCTATTCTCTACTCAACAGTCTTACCTCCTCCAATAATTTCCTTTGTTACTATCAAACCTCCATTTTCAAGGTATCTGGCATCAGAAATGAAATCTTCAAAATTAAGGAAAATGAGGAGAAAACATTCTTCCCAATGCTTCCTTTCCACTAGGGCTCACACCAGATGTACTCACATGCACATATGCAAGTTGCTTCCCTCACTTAGAACACTCCACACCACACTCTCCTGCCACTTGATACACCCAATCACAAAAAGACTTCCAAATCAGCCCATTTTTCAAGGTCCACCTCAGTCCTTCAAAATGTTGTCTATACTATTCCAGCTCATGGTGCTCTTTCCTTTCTTATCCTCATAATCGGCATACTTTTTAATTACATAATCTCAAGATAACATACAGAATTATTGAGAATACTAACATCAAACAGTTTGGAGTTCATTTACTAGCACTGTGATCTTAAGTAAATCATTTCTCTAAGTCTCAATTTTCTCAGCTATAAAAATGAGGATAGTAAGACTTTGGCACACTTGCTCATAGGGTTTTTATGAGAATAAGGTAATTCATGGAAAGTGCCTAGTACAGAATAAACATTCAATAAAAACCATTTTTATGTTGTCAGCCATCATCCTCCAGCTTTTTGTGTATACTTTAAAAGCCCAGCCAGATTCTAGGCTCTTAAGGGCAGATTACATCTTACAGATGTTTAATACATACATCTTTATAGAATGTATGACTAAATGATACAATGTTTTATAAATAATGAAGGTAGGGGGCAATTATAGAAGATTATATGAGGCTGAGGAGATAATCATAGCATGCTGGTGCACGGAACTAGTCCACGGGTTAGGAAACAATAATTTCACAACACCTTGCAGACTGTCTCATTATGGGTCAGTTGTTACTTAGTAGGTTGCAATAATTTTCATGGCAGGCTGTGAATACCTCACGCCAGAAAGTATCCAAACTTACCTGATAAACACAGAAGCTATATATTAATAGATACACTGTTGCCAGAGATTCTTCCTCACCAGCCTGGTGACTCACAGAAAGGATCAGCTGTGGGCAATATGATGAGAAATGCAGCTATCACAGTAGATCTTTAAATAGAAATTAACCACTTTTATTGGATGCTATAAAACAAATTATCAAAGTCGATCTAGATAACCTCCAAGTGTCTGTGATATATTCCTGATTACTCTTCTCAAAAACTGCAAGAAAACTCCCAAGGTATTCCTCAGTTCACAGCTAAGGCGGATGGTGACCTACAAAAGTTGGGCTCAACGTTGAAAGAGCTGGATTTGTCCCAACTGTGTTACTATGCAAACTTACACAAGCAAGGAGGTTAGCAGTTTGTCAAGCAACAAACAAATACTATAATGAGCCTACAGTTATTATTTTCACACAACCCATTACCAACTTAAGAAAAATCCTTATTTGTAAATGTACACAAAAAATAAACAAGAATTCCTTGTAACCGTGCAAAAGCTCTATTTTATTCCTAGAACACAGGACCACTCAAGGGTCTACTTTTCATCTTTCGTAAGTGGTAAGGGTATGGAACAGCAAAATCAAAGCTCCTATCAAGTGAAGATAGAGTACTCTGAAATTATGATGAATGTTAACGGGAGGAATTATTTCATCCGTTCATTCAAAAATATTTACTGAGCACCTGTATGTCAGGCAGTTCCAGTTGCTGAGGATACATCAGCAAAGCAGAGACAAAAATACTTGCTCTTAGGATGTTCAAATTCTAGTGGTGGGTGCAATGGCAAACAAATAAATGAGTGATTACACAACATATGGATTGTTACTGTGTTATGGAAAAAATAAAGCAGGTGGAGGATAGGGAGCCAGGAGGTGGGGATCTTCTTATATTGGAGATTAAAGGAATGGTTCTGTGAGGAGGTAGATTGAAAGATACAAGGAATCGAATCTATAAATGTCTGAAGAAGGGGCTTTCCAAGTAAAGGAAACATTAAGTGCAGAGGTCCTGACGCAAGAGCTACGTTTTACGTAAATATTCTGGAAGGAGAAAATTAAAAATACACCTTGGATTTTGGAGTCCTTAGCTCTTTGTCTTTTACCAGCAGAGCATCCTTTATAAAGAAAACAACTTTACCTCTCTTGAACCTTTTCTTCCTCTGCATATTAGAGAACTGACACTACCACGTACTTCAGTTATTTCAAGAACAAAAATTAAGAAATGCACTTTACAGCAACGAGATATTATTACAAAGAGCGCTAAATTAACAACCACGCTTGTCTCCTTGGCTGTCAAATGAAGCTAATGGTGCCCATTTCACAGGGCGTTGCCGGGACTCAACGAGATAACCAATGTAAATATGGCGACTGACACTCAGAAACCACTCAAGGCGTAATCCAGCAATACTACTGTCAACGCGGGGTCTACCAACAATGAGCGGGCAGGGGCTCTCGTTGCTCTGCTCAGTATGAGACGTCCAGGACGAAGCACCTCGAAGCTGCTTCATATGCACTCGCTGAATAAACCGACTGTAAATTCCACTCACTTTAGAGTACTTTGCCGAATTTTTCGCACTTCTACATTCTGCTGGGACATTCCAGCTTCTAAGAACCCAGCTTCACTCTCTAAAACTCTTTCAACATATGCAGGTCTCACTTTAAAAGGTCTTGAAATGGACTTACTACCAGACTGCCTTTCCCTGGGGTTCGTAAAGACCCTTTCAAGTCACCCTCCCGCGCGCCGCGCGCCGCGTGCCACACGCCCACCTGGTTGCCGCGACTACACCTCACGGACCTTTCGCGCCCCAAGGCGGCCCTTTATAAAGATGCGGTGACGTCACCGCGCGCCGCGCGTGCGCAAATATGGCAACGTGACCACGCCCTGGCCTGCGCTGAGGCCCCGGCGTCGGCGCAGTAGCTGGTGCCTTCCCGGAAGGGCTCAGAGGCGGGCTGGGTGAGTGGAGTCGGACCGTGGGTGGATGCCCTGACTGCCTGACGGTTGCGCAGGGGCCTGCAGGACCGCTGGGGAGGATGTTGTTAACGTAAAGAGCCAGGTTGATGAGGAAGGTTCATGAGTCCTTTGGGTATAAGCGGGAGTTGGGGCGGCCGGAGGGCAGATGACTCTGAGAAGGTGCGGATCTTCGGTTCTAAGGGAGAATTTGATTTGGTTTTGTCTGAAGTGCTGATAGCGGGCCTCACAGAAAAGTTACCATGAACCGACTTTCCGGGATTCCCTTGTCGCTGAGTTAATTGGCCTTGTTGCAAAAGGAAACCGAGAGGAGGGCGGCGAGGATTGGCCTGCGGTGATGTTAGCTGAAAATATCTGTAATTAGACCCTGGAGGGCGGGCCTGTGAGCGATTGCTGTCCGCGGTGCTGAAGGAAAGGCAGCCACGCCTAGAGGAGGAAACCTAATGAGGGCAGGGCGGTGTTTCCGTTTTCCTTGGCCGGGTTCAGCGCCCTACACTCAATAGGCGTGGGCTTTCTAGCAGGGCTGGACACTCGGGCGGTGTGTCAATCTTTAGACAATCTTTATAGAGTGCATAGATGTTTAATTTCATAAAATTTAGGAAAGCTTCATTTCAGGAAGGAATTTTATTCCTCTTTTTCTCCCTTAGGGCAAGCACTTTCAGCTTATAAGCCCAACCAGATGAGTTGTCTGCAGTTTTGGAGGCCTTCAAAGCATTTCACTAGACCTCTGTCTGTATCGGTCCAATGTCTTTAGCCAAGGTGAGCTTGCTCATTGTGTAAAGTGTGCCATGAAAATGGGCTTTCCTACACTCCACAAATGAGAGTGCTGAGCAGCCAGGGGAAGGGGAAGGTATCTATCTAATTGTGCTTTTCCTCACAGTTACGCATGAAAAGTAATTTCCTATTTAGAAGAGAGATGGTAGAACTGGGCACTCTTCCAATAAAGGAAAGACCTTGAATTTCCAGTTGGTTCTCATACTTGTTTGCCTGCCTTTCTGTCTATGTGTGTTTGCACATGCATAAGCGATGGTGTTCCTGTGTTGAATTTTACAGAGCGGATTTTTTTTCTGTTGATGCAATAAAACGTTTACTAGTCTTAGTACCAGCTGCTTGTTTGTTTTTAATTCTGATTAAGGTTAGAGTCTAGAAAGAAAAGAGGAGACAATACGAAATATGTTGGGTTTACCTAATTCATGGTGTTCTTAGATAAAACTGGCATGCTGAATAAAAATGTGTTTAATCGCGTCCTTTCATTTTATACATTATTACATCTTAAGTTTTCTCTTCTGAGAGAACCAATGGATTAAGCTACTAAAATAATCAAATGTTGCAAAGCTGAGGACATGTGGTAGAAGTAACTTTAAATGTTTTTATTCTTTATGACAGCTTTGATTAAAGATGACTTCCTTGTTTGCTCAAGAAATTCGCCTTTCTAAAAGACATGAAGAAATGTAAGTTTTTTTTAAAAGGATGATTCAGATATAGAAATTGAACTAGCTTTGTTAGTGAAATTTTGTATGCACAGGATGACTTAAAAATTTGAAAGCATGTCATTTTAATTTTCTGACACTTAAGAGGTCTTAGTGTTAGGGAATGTCCTTGTTTCTTATGAATAAGCAAGATTTAAAAATATGTTCTATGTATTTTTACTCTTTGTAAGTAATATATAGATAAATTTGCCCCTCCTCCCACCCCTTCTAGGCTCCACAGTGGTATTTAATGGGCTTCTCTAAACTTCTTACCCAGGACTGGCTTCATGGGTACATGACTTATATACAGTCATAGGTCTTGCATTTGGTTTAATGCTCTCATGCCATTGTTTTGCATCATTTTAGACTGGACCCTCAAATTGTATAGCCAGTCCTGCTCTTCGTTTTGTATTTTTCACTCTTTTCCTCCTCTCTCTTTCGGCTTTCAGGTTTTCCTTTTCTTTAATTAATTACCAGACGTTCTTTCCTTGGCTCATAAGATACTTTCCTTACCAAAAAATTGACTATTCATAGACTTGGGATTTTAATTCCACCTTTAAGACAGCCCGATGAAACACAGTGTTTCTTGAGAACCTCCACAACTATTTGAGAAACAGTTTGACTGTTGTGTATACCAACTTATGTATCTTTTAATCATCTTACATATTGTCTTAAAAAGAACAAAAATGTATAAAATAAGCATTTGACCAGCAAGAAACTTTTAAAGTATATTATATGTAACAAAGTAGTTTGAAGATATTTACTTGTAATTTTTTACATCTTTCTTCAATTACTGTTTTACCTTGTTGTGAGTATGCATACATACACACAGCCTCTCACTCATATATCAAACCATCATCTTTCTCTTGGAAAAAGAGGGAAAAAATATTTTTATTGCTTCTTCAAACATATGGAAGTTTAGCACAATTCTAAATGTGTAACATGAGATTCAGGGGTACTGAAGTGTTAAGCAGAAGGTTTCATATAGCAAGTTATATCAATGTATGTGTGTCGGGAGGTATATATAACTATGTGTACAAAGGGATATGTATTACAGTTTGCATTTTCACCAAAAATTAAAACATATCTTCAACATTCTAAAATAATTTCAAAAGACCAGAGAGGCTAAAAAAACAGAAGCATGTACTTATGGCATATATAAAGAATATGTTAATGAAAATAAAAATGATTTTAACCAGATTGACTTAAGACTTATTGAACTACCTCAGATTTTTCACTGTCTTATTAGTTGACATAGTAATTGACTTTTAGAATAGGTTAGAGTTGAAGTGAGGTGTTATTAAGAAATGAATTTTTTATATTGGTCAAGCAGTAAAATGTTTGCTTTTAATTTTTTAACTCTATGTAATCTTCATTTTTTTCTAGAGTATCACAAAGATTAATGTTACTTCAACAAATGGAGAATAAATTGGGTGATCAACATACAGAAAAGGCATCTCAACTCCAAACAGTTGAGACTGCTTTTAAAAGGAACCTTAGTCTTTTAAAGGTAAGTTTCCATGACCTGAATATAGAAATTTATCCCACCTCCTCAAAAATCTTTTAGGTAAGTTTCATAATATTGATTTATATAATTTATTGGTTCTGAGTAATAAGTAGAATTACTAAAGCAGCATCTTTTTTAAAAGCCCATGTCAGTTAGATAAGTAACATATGTATCCTCATTTTTTTAAATTAAAAAAAAATTGAACTTCGTTTGCAATCAACTAGAAAATCAATGACTACAGAAGGAATTGTAAGGTCACCCTTTTGCAAGAAGTAAGAAATAGAAGATGTACCTTTCCATCTTTCATCTTCTTTTATTTGAAAGGAAATCCTGAAAGGCCATAAAGTACCTATAAGCTATTGAGAGCCAACTCACAACTATCAAACATCATAAAAACAAGAACAATTTGATTTTGCCTGACTAGGCAAACACACAGAATTCATATCTATGATAACAGATTTCCCAGCTCCCTCTTGATGGATATGGAGGAGTGGTCAAAGTGTATGATTGTGCGGGGCCTCACCATTTGGCCAATGTGCCCATTTGGAGTAGAATCATATGTGTAACATTTTTGGCTGCTTGTTATACTTTGCTTCCAGAATTGTATGGCTTCATCCATAATTAAAACCCTAAAGTTTGCTTCCATTCAAGCTTCCAAGAGATCCTATGACTAAAACATTTGGTAGTAAGACTATATTATTTAAGTTATAAAGCAGTGTTTTCAGTTTTTTATTGTTAAATATTTTCATCGATAGGCATGATATAGTTATCTTCTGTCCTCACTAGAGGATAAAGGAAGAGGAAAATTCAGTTATCTTCTCAGCTTCTGGCAGTTTGATCCACAGTAATTTAAGTCACAGCCATAGTGCTACCAAAGCATTCTATATTGCCATATGTCTTACTTGCCCAATGGTGTTAGCAATATTTATTTTTAAATGGAAATATATAGGATAATCTGGAATTTGCTCTGAAAAGTTAGAAAAACTAAATTAGAAGGCTTAATTGCTACCTACCTGCAGCACGTGATATGATATTTAGTTTTCAAGCATTTTCCTTTTAATGAGCAAGTATTTGATGAATGCTTAGAGGGTCCTTACTGTTGAGCTAGTTCTGGGCAGCAAGTAGGGACAACAAAATAAGTATAAATCAGAGCTCTTGATATCAAGAACCCAGAGACTTTGTGTGATCAAACATTAAAGTACATGGAATAGAGTCAGGACTACAGAAATAAGAATTTAAAAAATCTTTGAGAGCTAGAATATTCAAAAAGGTCTCAAAGAAGAAGCTAAGCCTAGCCTGTATTTGAATAGGCAGAAGGCAAGGCATACTGTTGGATTCTTACAAAAGAGCCAAGACCAGAAGACTGAATGACCCTGTTAATGATCCTGGAAGTGTGACTAACTAGCTTAGAAATTCACAGGAAACAAGGTTGGATATGTGTTATTGGACCAAAGAAGTTGAGACTTGATATATAGACATAATTCAGTACTGAAAATGACTAAGCAAAAGAAAAATATAGACTTATATAAGAAATAAATGAGTGGGTATTTAAGGAAGATTCATTTGCTATTTAGATGCAAGATGATTTTAAAAATGGAGAGAATAGAGTTCAGAAGGGTAGCTAAGAAATCATAGTCATACATATATAAGGAACATAATGAACCTGGTTTCACAGTTATGAGAAACTTCAATTTGGTGTGATATTTTTCCCCTGATTGTGAAATATTCCCACTTTAAAAAAAAAAAAAAAAAATTAAAGGGTAAAGAAGACGAAATAGCATACCTTCCATATCATTCCGCTGATCTAAAATTAATATATTTTTGTATATTTTCTTTGAGTACTTCAGTAAACATTTATTGAGTACCTATTATATCACAAACACAGTGCTTGCTGCTAGAGATGCTGCCTCTTCTCTTTTTTTGCATTCTTTGAGTCATTGCATATGCAATTTTTAAAATCCTACTTTCCCTCATATGTTTTTAAACTTTCAAAAGAATTTTAGTGGCTCTACCATAGAAGTCATTATGAAAGTAAAATAAATGAGACTTTTCCAGGCACAGTGGCTCATGCCTATAATCTTTGGATTATCCTTGGGGAGGCCAAGGCAGGAGGATCACTTGAGCCCAGGAGTTCAGGTCCAGCCTGAGCAACACAGCAAGACCCTGTCTCTAAAAAAGAGTTAAAAAAATTAGCTGGACATGGTGGTGCATGCCTGTAGTCCCAGCTGCTTGGGAGGCTGTGGCAGGAGGTTCCCTGGAGCCCAGGAATTCAAGGTTACAGTGAGCTATGATCATGTACCGTAGTCACTGTACTTGCAGCCTGAGTGACAGAGTGAGACTCTGTGTCTGGGGAAAAATAAATAAATAAGACTTGATTGCAGAATTTTGAGTTGGTAGACACTTTAAAAATATGTATATTAGATTCGATTCTCATCTAAAAGTATTCAATTTTTTTGCATTAAAACTTGTTTTCCTGTTAAAATAGATAGAAGTGGACCTGCTTTGGGTCAAAGCACCACCTGTTCAGTCTTTCCTTGACTGCCCAGCTGTGGCTTTAAGGAACTGTGAAAAACCACTGATCTGGGCTAATTCCTTAATTTAAAGATGAGGAAACCATAGGGCAATTACTCCTGATAACACTTGTTCAGGACAGGTTAAGTTACATCTAGGATAGGTACTTCAGAACTACAGCCTACACTTTAAAAATGGTTCCAATAAAACTTGAAAGCATTTCTGTAATAAGAGTACAAAATATGGATGACGTCTATTAACATCCATTATTTGACCTTATTTAGATCTTCTGACCAATATAATGAACATTAAAAAGGAATGAGCTTTCACTTTTGAAAAGGACAGTATAACACTAGCATTTTGGAATGATATGGTTATATACTTTAAAAAGCCAAATTTGTTCTGAAAGTAGTATAATATGAGTTAAGTAAAATTGATGGATAAAAGATACAAAAATCAATAGTAATTCTAGGTATACAACTGGAAAATATAAGAAATCACATTCACATTAGCAATAAAATTCTAAAATACTTGGGAATGATCTTAACAAGGGGTTTGCATGATTGGTGTAGAGACAGTTATTACTCTGAAATGGAAGATTTAAAAGAAAACTTACAAGGAAACATGTGCCTTAATCCTGACTAGGGAGACTATTGTTTTTTTAAAGTTAGCTGTTACACATACCCTCTGAATTGAGTCTTTGTAAAAATTACACATAAAATTAAAAAACACAAAATTATTTTTAGCTTTAAATTAATTCCTACAGAATTCACCTTGAACTCAATGTCTGTAAATTCCTTTGGAAAATAGCAGGAATACAAAATATCAAAGAATGTATTTTATAAAGGAGCAGTGAAGAAGAGACCAATTCCATCAGATATTTGCACATATTAGTAAATGAATAGATATGAATGTATGTAGTGAAGAATAGGCTTCAGTCAGTAACTATCATAAAAGAGAGTGAACTTTGAAAACACAGGGTGGGTGATTTTTCCCTCTTAGTATTAGTAAAATGGAATTTATCTGCCTTTTAAGAACGTAACAGAATTGGTATAGATTTGGAAGAGAAAGAGAAAATTGTGCTTCTATAAATACTGCAACAATGTAAACTGACATCTCTCCCCATGTACCTACCATAAAATTTAGTTTTATCTAGAAAGGCTACTCTATAAGTAGGGCCAGGTGCGGTGGCTCACGCTTGTTATCCCAGCACTTTGGGAGGCCGAGGCAGGCGGATCACGAGATCAAGACCATCCTGGCCAACATGGTGAAACCCCGTCTCTACTAAAAATACAAAAAATTAGCTGGGTGTGGTGGTGTGTGCCTGTAGTCCCAGCTACTCAGGAAGCTGAGGCAGGAGAATTGCTTGAACCCGGGAAGCTGGGGGGTTGCAGTGAGCGAGATCACGCCACTGCACTCCAGCCTGACGACAGAGTGAGACTCCATCTCAAAAAAAAAAAAAAAAAAAAAAAATGGCAATTCTGTAAGTCAACATCATCTCAAGAGTAAGCTCATGAGTAAGCTGGACAAACACTCCGGGGTGAGAAAGAATGAGAAAGTGCTACAGCCGGTGAGAGAATGCTTCCACTGAAGAACACCCTGGAAGCCTTCATGGGGCAGTTGGCAGTTAAACAGGGACTTCAACAAACTGCCACCCAAGATGGTCGGTGACTTATAGGACCCTATCTCTCTTCTTTCCTTCTTACATTTCTCACCCCCAATTCCTTGAAGAATACGTTTAATAAATGCTTGCATATTCCTGTACCAATGACCCTGTATCTCGTGCTTTAGTATCTTATTTTTCATATCCCAGAAATTGGCCCTCCAGCAGCTTAAAAGATTAAAACCAGCCTGGCCAGAGCTAGGTTCACTATATATATTTATAGTGAGGTATTAGATTTCAAGTTTTGGAGGAAGTGGCATGTATAGGGATAGGGAGAGAAAGAGATCTCAGCATGTGACTTTCTGTGCTCATATTTTACCTTTCCTAATCATGAATCAACTCATTTAAACATAGCCTTCTCAGTTCTGCCATAGAGTAACATTTATACCATCATCCACACTGGGAACTTGTTTTTTAATTGTTACGAAGAGTTTCAAGCCTATATAGAAAAGGGAATGGAAGAATGTACTTACATGTGCTTATTACCCAGATTCAATAATTATCGAAACATGGCCAATCTTGCTTCATCTATATACCTCATCCCCTTTCCCAACCACTGAGTTTATTTTGAAGGTATTCTCCAGAAATCGTATTGTTTCGCCTTTAGCTATTTCTGAATATATCTGTATTTTTTCAGTGTATATCATTAAATGATAAGGACTATTTTACTATTTTAAGCAAAATCACAATACTATTATCAATAAGAAATTACCACTAATTCCTCAAATATTCAGAGTTCACATTTCTCTGATAAATCTGTAGCCATGTTTACATTTGTTTGGCTGAGAATCCAAATAAAATCCAACATTGTAATTGATTGATACGTCTCTAAAAGTACCCCCTGACCTTTTCATCCACTTTTAATTTATGTGTTAAAGGAATTAGGTCATTTGTCCTATGCGTTTCTCAGTTTGGATATTGCTAATTACATCTCTGACGTATCATTTTGCATGTTCCTGTATTCTCTGTAATTCCTATAACTTGATCTACAGCTGTGCTGCCCAACAGAAATATACTGTGAGCACATATGTAATTAAAATTTTCTAGTAACCACTTTTAATAAAGTCAAAAGAAACAGATGAAATTAATGTTAATAACGTTTTCATGAGGTATATACAAAATATTATTTCAAATGTTTCTACCAAAAATTTGTAATTAAATATCCCATATTATTTTTCTTACTAAGCCTTCCGAATTCGGTATATGTTTTGCACTTACAGCACATCTTAATTTGGACTTACCACATTTTAAGTGCTCAATAGCCACATGAGGCTAATGGCTATCATATGAGCAGTGAAGTTCTAGAGGCTGGATCAGATTCAGGTTCATTGTTTGGGGGAAGAACATTTCCATAATTCCTGGCTGTCTCATTTTGGAATGTTGGCAGTCATTGATGATCATTGCCTAGATATATTCATTAGAGGTTGCAAAAAGAATATTCAAATTCTTTTATTCCTTCTCTTTCAATTGCTTGTTATTTATATGAAAGAGAATCTTCCCCTCATCACTTATTTGGTTACACTGAAGTACAGTTCATCTAGGAAAAGGTATGATGACTTCTGGACACTTTCTCTATAGCTTTCAAAATCATAGTTTGGTTCTCTGGCATCCTCTAATGGTGACGAATAAGGTGGTATTTTGTTTTTAGTTTATCTGGGATTTGAAATGTTTCGATCCCTTGCAATTTTTATTCTTATTTATGCCTTATGTGTCCCATTTTTACTGTGGGGAAGCCTCTTCAAGTTAACTTCTGAATGTCTTTGACATTATCCTAACAGTCTTTGATAGTTTCCTTTCTTTATGATGTGATGAGTTATTCCAGGCTCATTATGTGCCTTTGCTGCCCAGACCTGGAATTGGCCATTGCTCCAAGAAGCCCTGGTTCCTTTTGGCAGGAAATATATTTAGAGCCCTCAATCTGGGTACTAAGAATGCTTATTGCAACTTGTTTTGTTATTGTTTAAAATAAAATACATCAAGAGCTCATAACAGTATCTCCAATTCAATTACACGATTGAAGATTTAACTTAAAATCAATGATCTTACGCGTCTACCTTCTTTTTCTAACACCGACAATCTGTTTCTAAAGAATTATTCTATGATACAGACATGGCTATCACCAATAATATGATTACTGAGCATGGTTTTCAGTAAGATAACTTTTACAATTTCTTTTTGTCCCCAGGGTATACCCCCACAAAGTGTGTCCAGTCAATACTGTGTTCTAAGAATACTTAATGTATTATACCACAAACTACATAATAGTTAAATTTGTCACATTTAGTTTCCAATTTGGAGGGAATTGCTTTTTTATTTGTCCTATAACTATATAAAATTTTAAATGTTCTAGTAGCAAGTCTGTAAGACAAGGGAACAATGTATAGTCAAGTGTCGCCTCCCTTTTCACCCCCCTTTTTCCTTTCCTTCTGCCTGCTTCGGGTACCTTTTTTAAAAAAAAGTTTTGGTTTATAATCAGGAAAATTTTACATCTTGTGTATTCATTTAATGAATATTTAATGCCTAGTACACGCCCGGCACTTTGTGAGATACTCAGATGCATAAAGGTTGTATGGGACACAGTCCTTACCTTCTGGTAGTATCTAATCAAAGGAAAGGTTCTTATGTGGAACTATTAGGGTATAACTGGCTACAGAAGGCTAGGATCAAATTGCAAAGTTGTTTGTTTGTTTGTTTGTTTTCAGTCAGGCTAAGGAATTCACACTTCATCCTCTATGTAGTGGGTACTGATGATTTTTTAAGTCTAGGGAAAGACATATGCAAAGTAGTTCTTTAGAAAAATGAATTGATCCCCTCTTAGGTATGGATGGAAGTAAAACAAGACATACTGTAGGCATGCATCATACAGTAAGTACTCCTCAAGTATTTGTTGAATGAATAAGTGTAATAATAAGGCCATAGCATTGGGAGTGAAATGGAAAGGCTAGGAGAGATATCCTGAAAGAACAATTTATAGACTTTTGAAAATTTAAATGGCAGGTATAAGAAGAGTTAAAGATAGAGTATAGAGCATAGGTATCTGAGGGAAGAGAATTCCTACTATTGTTCATTCATTATATCCTGTAGGAATAAGATGAGCTTAGTTTCATTTGGTTGAGAAATAAAGGCTAGGAAGAAAGGTTAGCCATGCCTCTACAGTAAAAGTTACTGAAGCTAGATAGGACACAGTCTTGAGAGAGAGAAGATAAAAAATATGAGAACAGCTGCCACAGATCTTAAGAAAGCTCACACTTAGGAACAAGGGGAGAAAAATTAGACAGCCAAAGGGAAAGAAAAGTAGGAATCAGAGGTGAGCATGTCTTCTAAGAAAGCAAATATCTCTTAAGCTAAGAAATAAGTTTTTCAGAGGCCTGATAATTTATAGTCAGAATACTGCAGAGATAACAGTCAAGTGTTTAACCATAGGCCTGCTTTACCAGGCCATATGTCTCCTACTTGTATCTGCTTTCCCATTTAGAAATCTGCTCTCCTATAAGAGATATTAAATATCCTTATTTTCTGGTCTTCAAGAAAAATGTTTATAATATTGTCTACAATGCTAGTGGCACCAAGATCTGCCATTAACAATAATCTTATAACTTCTTCGAGTAATGACCATAATTGGACTTGTGATTATTTTATTTGTGTTTATTTGATTTATAAAGGTAAAAAACATTTTTCCAGGACCTTGTAACATCTCAATGTAATCACACAAAAGTTATTAGGCTTCTGTATCTGTCATAGCATCAGCATCAAAAGCTCTTTAGCATGCATCTTAGCTATAAACTTCTGGTATGGGATAGACATGCTAAAAATCAGCTTTTTTCCCTAAATTCATGGCTTTTTTCCTTCAAATCACCTTCCTCCAGACAGCAGGTGCATTAATGGTTGTGCAACTTTGGGGAGTCCCTTTAGGGAATTTCCTGTTTTTCCCTTTTACATTTCACACCCATTCCTTGCTCCCGCCGCTACCATCTGCTATCTCTTTTCTCCTGTTCAGCATTGGCTTCTTCACACCCCACTCCCACGCCCTTTTCCATCTCTCTCCGTCTGTCCAACAGCCCTCTACTTAGACTGCTCCAATGCTTGTACAGGAATCAGATAACTTTCTCTTTTCTATCAACTCACTAAGCTCAACAGAGAGACAAAATTTATATGGCCTGTGACCAAGGCCACATTGTGAACTTGACAGACATAAGTGGGCACAAGACAACATGGGTGCTGATTTTGGGAGCGTTTATTAGACAATGCTCAAGTGTTCCACTAAAAATTTGTGGAATCTTGCATTTCTGGGCGTTTACTTCATGTGTATATAAAGATAAGAATATTTACCAGGGTATGAATTAAGTTTAGTTACCTTGGTGTTTTTACAACTATTAGAGAAAAATACACATATCTACAAGTAAAACTACACATTAAAGCATGGTGCTTGAATGCTTTCAGCTGAATGACATACTAGCTAGCAATAAAACTTGCCATTGAAATTAGCTTAGAAAGCTAGTACTAAAAAAAATCTAGATAGTATAATGAAAAGGTTCTTGTCACTAAGTACTGAGGTACCTCACTGAGCTTCCATTAAATATATGGAATATTTGCATACATATAATTTTTTTAATTGAACATTGAACAAATGAAATGTGTGCCATTGATATGCTATTTACATCTTCTAGAGAGACTAGAACTCTTCACTTTTAAGATTAGCACTGGGTGGGTCTGAGTATCTGACTGTTTTTGTATCTGAATATTTTATTATTTTATCCTTCTGGCTGTTTTTTAGTGATGTAAGAGCTAAATTAATGCGCTGAACACTATTATAAGACACTCTTTTTGCATGAATTACTGACATTTACTAGCATTCAAAAGTGAAAAGGCAGAACCTAGAAGTACCACCTCCCCCACCTCTATTTCAAAATAAGAAATGCTGTATTCTTTATCTGAAATGGATTAATTGAACAATGATCAGTTTTCCTACCACGGTGTGCCTCCATCCATTCAAACTATATCCAGAGAAGAGTGGAGGTGAGAGATTCGGGATATAGATATTGCTTGTACAGGTGCCATTTGTTTTATGTAAATCCACTTTAATATAAAATGCCGATATCTGTTACAGGATATAGAAGCAGCAGAAAAGTCACTACAGACCAGGATTCACCCACTTCCACGGCCTGAGGTGGTTTCTCTTGAGGTGAGCATCTTAAGGAACAAACGTAAAAAGAGAGACTCTATCTATCAGTAGCACACTACAAGTTAAACAATGGTTATATATATTTTCCAGATATATTTATTCAGTAAATTAAAGAAGATATGCCTGTTTGATCTTTTTATGTCCACAGTACTGTGCTTTATACATAGGAGGTAACTGAGAAGTATCTTGATTTTTAAAAGTTTAGCAATTGGAAATTTTATAAAGATGGGGATCTTTTCACCTTGTCACTTAGAAACAACTATCCTGTTAAACCATAAAAGACAATATGCGCTAAATCATGAGATGACAACACACCTAACTCAAATGCTTTTGCTGCTTGCTGATGTTAGAAGTAGCAGTTTAGTCCCTTCACCAAAAATTTAACCAGAGCTAATTAAATGCATATTATCATACAATATAGTATGGCTTTTGTCTGCTTTATTTTGTTCAGTTCAAGAACAGATTGGGAAGATGGTTGGCAAAAATAAACTATATTTGGTATATGAATATGTTTGTGATGAATGGGAATTTACTACATATAGAATAGTTTCATTTTGTATTTTTAATGACCTTTTTCAAATACAGGTTTTGCGTTCTCCCCACCTGGGGATTAATAGACTCAAAATTAGAGGCTGAGAATTTTCCCCTCAATTTTCTGTGTCATCTACGGTAACAAAACAAGGCAGTGATCAAGGATACAAAAAACTCTGGTACAAAGTTGTATCTTGGACATGTCTTTTTCTTTGATTCTCCAATACCTTACTCTGGCCTATACAGGACCCACACAATGGGAGTTACCCCAACTGCGAATGTCAGGGAAACTCCCAACAACGGGCCTCAGATGGTATTTTTCTTAACTAGTCTTGCACAGCAGGATGACCTTTACTTTAAGTATGTCAGGCTGTTTCTGAGACCACATGCATAGATATATAGACATATAGAATCCCTCACCATTTTCAGCTTGCAGAACTGCTGTATTTAATGCTTGGAGTGAATATTTTTGTGTTTCTAGTGCTAACTCGTTGGCTGAATTTCCAAAAATGAGATTGCTAGTGATGATCTAATATCAGTTGCCCTCCTATGACACAGGGCTTTGGGCAGTTTAGTTCTCTTTGACCTCCTTAGGGCAGTCACCCAAGAAATCAAAGCTAGACACAACACGCAATGTTGCATGAACTTCTAAAGCCTATAGACTTCTACAGTCAGACCAATAATACAACATCTCAACTTCCAAGCTGTTTGTATTAAAAATGATTAAATTATATTGACATTTTGTCATCATAAAAATGGGGAAAAAGTATAGTGGATATATATTTCCTACACAAGGGTCCAATGTATCTGATTCCTGTGCTATAACACACTAGTTGTATTTCAGTTCCTGATCGCATCCCAGGTCAAATCTTTTGATGTTAATCCTGAAGCATGATTTATGTTTAATAATTTCATTGTAATAATTTCAGTATGGGGTAATCATTTGGTATGGGATTTGGAATACTAAACAAAAACATTTAATGGTTATATCACCATAAATGATACTATTGGCAATAATCATGAAGTTGGCCACAAGAGGGCGTGTAAAATCACAATAAAATTCTAAAACCTGTAATTCTGCCAGACTCTGGTTTTACTGAGAAATTTGAAAATTAACACTAGTAAGTAGCCAGATTTTTTTCTAAAATTAACATAAAATATTCTGTAGAGGAAATGCATTCTACGTATATGTGTGTGTGTGTGTGTGTGTATATACACGCACATACACACTTAAGTGAATAAACATTTAGACTATTATGAAGAGCCAAGTTCAATTGCTTGATATGCTTTTTTACTTTTGAATTTTTTTTTCCAGACTCGTTACTGGGCATCAGTAGAAGAATATATTCCCAAATGGGAACAGTTTCTTTTAGGAAGAGTACCATATCCTTTTGCTGTTGAAAATCAAAATGAAGCAGAAAATACCATTCAAAATGAGGCATAGCGATGACTTCTTCACGTGCTATTTCAAAAAGCCTGTTTAATAAAGCGAATGTTAAGGTGTATGTAGGTTATTGCAGGAACTTTAGGAATTAAATATGTTTATATTCTTCCATTATCTCCTAAGTGACAGTGAAGATATGAGAATTTACTGGCAAGTCTCATGTTATCACCTACTACTATTTCAAGGTCATGAATTTGCTTTCCTCCAAACCCATAGACGTGTTAAACACTAATATTAAAAGGTGGATTCTTTATTAATTAAATTATTGTCAGTGTTGTGTGTGTGTTGTTTAAAAAAAAAAAAAAAAATTTACAATCATTCTCCTCTAAGCAGGTATCTTGGCTCTGGTTTTAAGTTTTTTAGAATCCTTACTTTTTAGGGACAACATATAGGATCAACATGGTTCTTTTTTTTTTTTTTTTAACCATTATTGTTTCTTTTAACAAATTAAAAGACAGTGACACCTAAAATAAACTGCTTTAGTAAAATAACGTATGAGAAAATAAATTCATAAGATTTTGTCCCTCACAGATAACCAAACTTCTAAAAGTTCTGGAGACAGAAAGAACTGAACTATAAAACAGTCAATAAGTAGCCAGTTTCAGGAAGACTCAGACTTGGTTTGAAAAAGGATGTCTTTTAGAGCTGGGAATGGTTATTGGATTTTAACTTGGTTATTTAAGGATTGCCAACCTTGTGAATGCACATAACCCCACTCTTGTCTTTTCATCTTTAAACTTTCCCTTCCCGCTTCCTTCTGTTTTCATTATTCCTGAAAAAACTGTCAGTCAGAAAGCGTTGGGTCACAACCCTAAACAGCTTTGAGATTCCTCAGTCCACCACTGCTTGATCACAAAAAAAAAAAAAAATTATAACTTTCCAACTGTAGAGGCAACCTCTGCTAGTAAAGGGTACCTATGCTATATTACAATGAAATGTTTGTTTTAAATTTCAAACTGGTTTGTGTCTTTAAAAGAAGACAATAGGAAAAGCTAAATACACAACAACAACAACAACTATATTGAAATGTCCATTGTGCCGATAAGTTCCTTTAAACTACCATCTTGGAAATATCCTGTTGAGTGGGTGTTGGTGTGGGTAACAATAATGTTGTTTTCATAATATGTGCTGGCAGATTAGCACGCTTCTCTACAGTGTTAACAGTTGTAATTAAGGAATAAACAGCACAGGGTGTCAGTCCGATGACAATTTCATCTATAGTGTCACAATACAAAATGTCACAAAATATTAGAACTGTTATATAACTATAAAAAGTATCAGCTTAAAAGCTAAAAGCCTTTGAAAAAAGAAGACAGAGGAAGGAAGAAAAAAGAAAACTGGCATAGCAACCAGAACAATTTTATACCTTCTCAAGAATGTTCTGTCATGAAAATAAATTGATAATTTTTTTCTCTTACATTACAGTTTGGTTTCTAGCCATCCAGTTGATTTAGCAGGAGAATGCAGGTTTTTTTAGCAGCTTTGAATTGGTAAACAGATTTAGATGTAGTAGAAAGGAACATGAGGAAGTTTTTTTTTTTTTTAACATCCAATCTTTCCCAGCATATGCACATAAGAAGGTGAATGAAGCAATGTGAAACTTATTTCTCTTTAGTCAAGTGAAAAAAAGGCTAAACATTTGTTAGATGGTAAAATATTGTGTCAAGCGAGTAGGCACATTCCAAAATTACACAGTGGTTGATACATTAACATCCTCAAATATTTGAGCGTACACTTCCTTTGAGATCTGTAAATTAAATCACCAGTAGGTTAGATTAAAATACAAAACAAATGGCAATCTAACCATCCCAAAAAAGGTTCAGGTTTTTTTCTCCCCAAAATTGAGGACTTGCTAAAAAATTTTTGAAAAGCGTAAACATAATACACCCTGGGTTACGATCGAGGGCAGAAGGGAAGGTGTTTCCAAGGCTCCTGCTGTAGTGTTTTTCCCATTTTTGTTAATACCTCAAAAACTCCCTGAGATGACTTTATTCCTGGCCCCTCCAGAGCTCCCCTCCCCACCCCCACCTTGTAGACTGTAACAGATTGCACCACATGGTGTCTGTTTAAAAAAAAAAAAAAAAAAAATTCCCATAGGGACCTGGATATCCCATTAATGGGCTTTATATTCGTCATGGCAAATTAGCTTTACACAGGAATTTCCAAACATTGTTTTCTGTTAAGAAGGGAGGAATACCACATATAATGTATATTTTTTCTATAATGAGTAGGAATCAGACAAGGAAAAGGAAATGTCATCTACTCATACCTTTCTCTCCAAATTCAGTGTTCTTTCCATATGCTCCATTGTACTCCACCACTCTTCTCCATGAAAACTATGAATTTATGGTTTTTTTAGAAAAATGGAGTTTTCAAAATGAAAGTCAAATAATTTTTTCCAAAGCCATTCATGGACTGTTGCAAATGCATAAATATTCAAAGCTCATTTTCTGCAGAAACACTTCTGCTATATGAAATTATTAAACTGTAAAATGCTAAAGATCAGAAGGAGCTACAGTTTTTCTTTAAGCTTGAAAAAAAAATAAAATTTAAGTACTAAGGAAAAAGCCTAATACTCTGGAAACCAGACATCTGGTCTTTCTCATGCGTAGGGAGCAGTGTGAATGAAAGTGAAGTCAAACGGACAGTTTTTTTCTGCATTATGCACAAGGTGTTTTAAATTGTCAGCTTAAGGTTTAGATGAAGATAATCTCTAACTCTGTTTACAATTTTTGCTATTTTGCATTATCCCCTTTTTCCATAAAAAATAAACTGAATATGTGTGCATATTTATTTTGAATCAATATTAAACTTATTTTGAGATTATTTTGTCACTTCTGAGATAATTGGAGACACACAGTGTGTTCATGTGTGCGTGTGAGAGAGAGAGACACAGAGAAACCAAGGGTTGCTATCACCAATTCAAGAGGAAGATATTAAGCTTTAAAAACACTGGGAAGTAGGTTTTTGGTGTGTAAAGTTAATGCACAAGCCCATAAATTTGGCTTATCTACAAAATACAGTCTCCCCTCTCCTTTCATTAGTGTATTAATTTATCTTTTTTACTCTAAGCCAATTCACATCTTTTTCTTTTTAAGCTAGTCTTTTATTTAAAACACAATAAAGTTTCCAGTCCCGCTAAGGAGTTCCCCACCTCCTTTTCACGCGCCACCCAAACATAAAGTTAATAGCTACATGGTTTTAAACACTATACATTTCAATAGTCACCTATTTTTTTAAACCTATTCCACTGTAATTAGTATAAAGAGATATCTTTTTTAAAGAGTTGCTGTCCAAAACCTATTCTTCAGAGAAGGTAATAACCAGGTGATGAGTTCAAGCAGAAAAAAACAAGTATGTGGAAAATATGTAGGAGAAACAGAAGAGGAGAGTACTTTGGGAAACCTTCAAGTTGGAACAAGGGTCCCTCCCACCCCCATCCCACCCCATGTGTTTCTAAACACATGTTTCTCTTATAATTTAGAAGTTAATTTGTCTATATGGGAAATTTAATTCCCCATTGTTAATAAGAGGGCATTTAGAGTTTTCTGGGACAAACATGGGGATGTGTCAAACTTTGGCAATTAAGAAGAGGATTGATTTGTGGATTTGACACATTGTGATCTCCCTTTCTAACTGGATCTGAGATTATATCCTTACTAAAATCCAAGAAAAGGAAAATGACTCCAACAAAACCAGAGGCTCAAAATGCTTCCAGACATCACTTTACCTCACAGAGTCAAGTGTCGCTGCTTACAAAGAAAAGGGAGCCAGTCCCCTAAGTTATAGTAATGTTTTAAAGTTCTTGCTATTTTAAAAACTGAAATTCATGTCTCAACAAAGAGACTGAGAGTCTGCAAAGTAGTATCTAGATTGACTACAGTAAAAACCAATAAAAGTTTGCACTGAGAGGAGACAATGAAATGTTCTCACTTTAGAAAGTGATGACTTAGTTTCTTTTTTATGTAACTGGTCATGCATACTCCACTGTAAAAATCAAAGGATTTTTTGTTATTTCTCCCCAAATCTAGGTTATCAAAGTAGAAATTTTTCTGATGTTTTATACAATATCACTTTGGGATCAATGCAGTCAAATTAGAGGGAGAAAAAATTCCTTTCATATATTTTGTCTAGAACATCTCTAGCTTCTTTCATCTCCCAATACCACTTAATTGTTTTTCATACCTTGTTCCAGACATTTTTAAGGTCTGTAGAACTTACAAGCATTTCCTTGTACTAGAATACTCTGGCCTAATAAAAACAATACTAAGATGTTCAAAAGAAGCCAAATCTAGAGCCCTTTAAAATGATACCCAGTAAACACAGAGGTAGAGAACACTTGGACACCATCGATTCATTCATTTATTAACAGATCTTATTGACTGCTTTCTGTGTAGCAGACACAGTTCTAAGCACCAAGAATACAGCAATGAAGAATACAAAGCAAAAAAAAAAAAATCTGTGTCCTCATAGAATTTACATTCTGGTAGAGGCAGCAAGTAGACAGGGCTAATGGCAGACATAAACAACAGAAAAGTAATATGTGGTATATCAGATGGTAAGAAGGGCTAATATAGTATGAACATCTAAAATGTCTTAGTACAAGAAAATAAAGCAGACTTTGTCATTTTTCAGTAATATGATAGAACTGAGAGTCTCTTTTCCTATTCAAGGATCTTGAGTTGGGGTTTTCCAGTGAAGCAGCATTTCCACTGCTTCTTATTTGTAAGTTGTGCAAGCTTAATGAATAGGTTTATGATAAAGGATGAAAAAAAAATTCTCAGTACTTCCAACAGATATTTATACACAAACGTTCATAGCAGCATTATTCACAATAGCCAAAAGGTGCAAACAACCCAAATGTCCACTGATGGATGAATGGATAAAATGTGGTGCCTATATATATGGCGGGACATTATTCATCCTTTTAAAGGAAGAGAATTCTGACACACGCTACAACATGGATGAACTTTGAAGACATATGCTAAGTGAAATAAGCCAGACACCAAAGGGCAAATATTGTATAATTTCACTGATACGAAGTACCTGGAATAATCAAATTCATAGAGTGGTAGTTGCTAGAGGCTGGGCAGGGAGGAAGAATAGGGAGTTAGCATTTAATGGGCATAGAGTTTCAGTTTGGGAATATGAAAAATATCCAGAGATGGATGGTGGTAATGGTTGTACAGCAATGTGAATATCCTTAATGCCAGTGAACTATATGCTTTAAAAGGGTTAAAATTGTTTATATTCTGCGTATTTTACCATGATAAGTCCCTCACTAAACTAAACATAACCTGAAAACTTCCATATTGTAAGCTGTTTGATTTAAATCTTATTTGTGATCATATATAAGATCATATATAACATACAAGCAAAGTTAATTCCTTCTAGAAAACTTCTGTAAACATTGTCCTCCATGTTTTCAAAATCAGTTGAATGTCTGCCTTTAGAAAGGTTGGTGTTCTGGGTTTTTGGTTGGTTTGTTTTTGTTTTGTCTATGAAACTCCTTACAAACAAGCTTCTAGTCCTGGTTCTGTCATTAATTGCTGCTCAGTTTCTTCAGTGAATTGAATTGGATCTCAATTGTCTAACAGAATTTTCTGAAGTGGCGGAAATGTTCTATATCTGTGCTATCCAATATGGCAGCCACTACCCAAAGGTGGCTATTAAGCACTTGAGATGATGCCAGTGCCACTGAGAAATTTAAATTTTATTTAATTTCAATTATTGGAAAAATTTTAAGTATGCTTGGAACAACTTGGGCATGTGAATCTACTTTTTCAACTTTAAATTTTATAAAATCTCAAAAGAGATCAAGTATTTCCAATGAAAATTTAGCATCCCAAATGGA